CGGCACAGATGCGTGGCCGGGGGAGGCCTCTCTGTGCAGGCAGCACCCAGCTCAGACCTGAAGACCACCAAGAAGCCTTGGGAAAGGCAGAGGGACACAGACGCCAGGCGAAGGCACAGCCAGGCAAAGGTATCGGGAGAGAACAGAGAGGGGCATCGGAGTCAGAACGCCCAGCAACACGGCATCCCATGGTCCAGGCCAGTGCCCAGCCTACATGAAGGACTCCACAAAGCATTTTTGGTGAATGGCCAAAAAAGAAGAGGGAGAAGGCCCCCAGGAGGGGTAAAAGGAAGCCATTCTCTTGTGTCTTCTAGGCCTCGGGGGGTGGGGGGGTTGGGGGAGTCCTCAAGTCTTGCCAACTGTGAGAAGGTCCCAACGCTTCTCATCACAGGCTGCACGCTGCTGCTCAGGCCAGCCTCCAGTGCACAGCTTAGGCTGTAACCTCTTCATGGCACTCTGTCCTGCCAGCATCCTGTAGATACCTGTCTCCACTACAACTGGCCTGAGGCTCTCGAATGGGCCATTCACAGTGTCCCATACCACCTTAACTATTGTCTCTCAATGGACTGATTTTTCTCATTCTTCAAAGCTTCCGTAAATGTCACCTCTTTCAGGGATCCTTCCCTTGCTGTGTCTGGCCTCAGCTCCCTCCATCTCCTCTCCAATATCACCCTTGGCCTCCCTCCCACAGTAGAATGAAGATTCGTGGGGTACACTGCAGGGCAGGCCCCATCTCATCTCCATGAGAACCCTTGTGAATATTCACAACCCTCCTACAGTAAGAGGGCTGTCCCTGTGTTAGAGTAGACGGAGTCTCAGAGAAGGGGGGGTTACCACCAAGATATCACAGCACATGTGTGGCACATACATAAAAAAATCTATCCATGGTACTGACTGCGCTCCCGGACCACGGCCAACACCATCTGGGCAGTCCTATGAGTAACCAACTTGAAGGAGGTGCATTCAGTTGTAGCTGACCCACCCCCGAACAGAGGATGGTATATGGATAAGAGAGAAACTGTCCCCACTGTGCCCTGCCCAAACTGCAGGTTGCTTGAAGTCAAAATCCTAAAACAGACTCCGAAGTTCTTTAAAAACGCCCTAACAGACTGGTTTTGGCTGCCTAGAACACTGTCTTGAGAATGAGCCTGAAGATACACCCAAGTTCCCAAAGACAGATGGGTGATCAACTAGTAATGTCTGCCATGGATGCTAAAAGGAGTGGTGGTGATGTGTGTTCCACATACTTGCCATCCCTTTGCAACTACATACTAAACTCTTTTTCTCTACACCAACAAATGCTTTGTCTCTCCAATAAAGTACAAACTCTCTGGCAATAAAAATGACTATTTTTTCTGAAGCATTGTCCTAGGCACAAAATAGTGTATTTTTTTTTAATGCCAGTAGTGTTAATGGTTGTACAGTGTGAATGTACTTAATATCACTTAAAAAATTATTAAGATGGTGGTCCAGATGGTGATGTGGCAGTAACACAACTGGATCCATACGGGAAGGCCCCCTGGTTCAGGTTCCAGGGCCTTCCCTGGACACACTGGATATGAACACATGCAAGTCCATGATCCAGGCTGGCTGAGTCTGGAGTGAATTATGTTGTGAAGAACCTGTTAGGGGTGCCTGCTTTCTCTCTCTGTCTTGTGGAAGAAATAAACATTTTTTAAAAAAAGAATTATTTTATTTAACTTTATTTATTTATTTTAATTTGACCAGAGAGGGACCAACAGAGAGAAAAAGGGAAAATGAGAAAACAAGCTGCCAGGTCCAGGACTCGAACTACAGTAGGCCATGTGGGAGTCCAGCACCCTTAACCACCTCACCACTTGCTGACCCCAGAAATAAACTATTTTTTTAATGGTTAAGATGGTAATTTTTTATAATAGGGAGCACACAAGCACACACGGGGGTAGGGGGCACCCTCAACAGGGTCTCGTCATGCTGTGCTCCCCTCTCCCAGCCCTCTAGCACCTGAGGATCGCAGGCACCTGCACACACACCCAGGGTGTCTTCATGCCAACCCAGGCTCTGAACTACAGTCGGCCATGTGGCTTCCAGCACTGCAATCCAGTACCCTACAGACTGTGCAGCCGGGCTGAGCCAAGTGCACAAATTTTATGTTGTGTGTATTTTACCACAATTAGAAATAAATACTCCATTATCTTGAGAAAAGCCTGACAGAGCCCAACCTTGTTCCTTGAAAATGCCACTGGCTCTGTCCCAAACTACATGCTCCTAAAGCCTCATCAGCCAGAGTCGTCGTTCGGGTAGGAATTGACTTTTAATATCAAAATAGTATTTTACACAGAGGCAGCCACACTCACGGGTGAAAACAAAGAGCCAAGCGACACTCCGTGACTGAATCTATATAAAACTCTCATTTTTAATCGACAGCAGAATTTCGGTCCCCACATTCAGCAGTCCCTTAGAGGTTAATGACATGGAAAACAAACATCTTTTCTGGCCCATTAAAGACAAATAATGGATCCCTGGGTAGACTCTCCAGAGAGCCTTCAAGCCCTTGGTTGGGAGGGCACCAGCCCCCACCCAGCATCCTCTCATCTCAAAGGACAACCACCTGCACCAGCACAGACGACCAGCAGGGGCCGCTGTGGCCAGCGTCTCCACACAGCCTGCTTAGAAAGGACTGAGGCCCCTCGGCAGACGGGGAGCCAGTTCCTGAGCCCACAAGGTCCTGCCATGGCAAGCTTGGTGCTCAGAGCACTCACGGGTAGCAAGCGTGAACCCCAGCAGGTCGGGTCAACAGGGTAGGGAATGTGTCTACTTGGGTTTGGCTGGTATTAAGTCTCAGACTCTGTCTCTCTCTCTCTCTTTCCCCACCCCCAGGATCTCACAACACTGTCAGCTTCAACACCGGCCTAGCCCCAACCCTTCCACCTCCACAGACAGAGGTTTGTTACCCACCAAGCCATACTGCTTTCCTCTCTGGGACCAGGATCAGCTCGGGAAGCTCACTCCACACGTGACCAGTGGGCCCTCTCCTGTAGACCTGCAGCTGTGACGCCTCCCTGACCTCCTCCAAGTTCCACCTGGCTGAAACTCAAATCCAGCACCTTCCCTTCTCAGATCGCATCCATCCACTGCTCTCCAGGGCCCTCTGGATGGACCCAACTCTCTGGCAATGAGGTCTGGCTCCTGTCCACCGCCCACCTGCCTCCTCTTACGTCCCACATGAACGTTCCTGCACCGCTTCGGATTCTCTCTGATCCCCAGAACTCCGTGTCTGCCGTTCTCTCTGCCTAGAAGCCATCCCTACCCCATCCAGCCTGAGCTCACCTTACAGGTCACCCTCTTCAGAAAGTCCACCCTGACTGCCACCACCCCACACTGGATGGAGTGTCTCCCTACCACCACCCCCACCCAACACGCTAGAATTTAAACTCCTGAAGACCAGACAGTCTCCAGTCCTCTCTCTCCAGTGTCTAGCATGGTGCCTGGCAGAGAAGGTGCACGTCAACTTCATCTGTGTCCTGGTGTCCCCACAGCCACGGACCAACCCTGTCACGGCACCCGTCTCACTGCATCCCTGCCGACTTCCCCAAGCCCCCACCCAGCTCTGCAAGCCTGTGCGCTGGTCCCACCGAGGGCACAGGGAGTGTCCCTGGTTTGAGTGAAATTGAGCAAGACTGCCATGAGAGGGCAGCAGGTGGGCGCGTCCCGACCCAGGTGCTACCTCTTCCCTGGTGCCTTCTGGAAGCTCTTCTGGGCCCCTCTCCTCTCTAGTCCCCACTGCCACTCAGGCCTCTGGATCACCCTTCAGGCCTCACTTCCAAGCACACTAGGTGAGCTCCAAGCCCACCACCGTGGGAGAAAGGCTCTCTCCAGGACTCACTGAGCCACGCTACCTGTTTGTAAGGCCTCCGGGCCCGCCAGACCCTGTCCCCGAGCTGCTCCAAGACCCTGCTTCTGCTGCCCTCTCCCACGCATTCTGACTCCAGACTGCACAAGAAAAATTAGTCTCTTCCCACTCTCGCCTCACCCTGGTGCCACCTCTTATCTCCGCCCAAGAACCCCATGCCCTGAGTTTCCCCCTCCCTCTACTCTCAAAGGACCTGCCTCAACCTACGAAGACCCAGACTCCCTCCCAGTCAATCTCCCATCTCTTCGGAGCAGCCTAATTGCATACAGAAGTTATATTAGAAGACTTAGAAGCTGAGCTAATTTATACTAAGGTGTAAATGGGTGATGGCTTTATAACCCTTCTGACTATGCTGATGTAAAGATTTCTATCCTAGCTTGCAAAACCATAAAGTCCTCCAAATACTTTGGGGCATTCAAAGGAAATATCCAGCGAGCAAACCTTGAAAGGCTGACTATCCTCCTGATCCCAAGGCAGGTACTACACCCCAGGCCCAGTCCCTCATTTAGAGAGGTTCGATCTTTATCGACTTTTGATTGCTCGGGGGGAGCAGTCACCAAGGCCAACGTCCCTAGCAACCTCTGAGCCTGTGTTAGCCCCTGCCCAGCCATGCGGACATCCAAGCTGTTAATAGTAACGAGGAGCGTTAGACCTGTTGTTAGTCAAAAAGAAATCCACAAGCCATTAGTTTCTGCTGAAAGGAACACACCAGGAAGGCAGGAGTTAGTCGAGGTGAAGGAGAGGTTAAGAGCCAGTGAGAGGCAGGCCAGGAGCCTGGAACGCTCAGATGGGCAGAGTCGGGGTTAGTGGTGAGCCCCTGGGGCAGCCAGGGAGGCGCGGATGAGCTGGGTGACAGCGAGTTAGTGCAAGGGAGCCAGGAGTAGCCCAGAGCCAAGGTGCCTACTGGAGGCGAGCGCGAGTCACCCCCAGGTGTGGCCCCGGCTCAGCGACTGGCGGGCTCTGGGGGAGGCGGGTCGGGGCACGGCCAAGGGTGGGATGGTACCTGGCCAGCCTGAGGGGCTGCGGGCACTCTGCGGGCCTCTGGGGCTCCTTTCCTGCTCCCCACTTCCTCCTCCTGCGGGCCTCGCTCCCCGAGCAGGGCCGCTCGCCTGCCCGCCTCTCCAGCTCGGCGCCCAGCGCCCTCTGGCGACAGGGCGAGGGCACGACTCGCTCGACGACTTCCGTGAGGAAAGCGGCCTCACGCCTACTTCCTGTCTAGGAACGCGGACTAGCCCGGCTTCCGGTTTGTACGGAAGGGCCGCTCTAGCCGACTTCCTGTGTGGGAAGGGGCCGTCTCGCTGGTCGTTGGTCTTCCTTTCTCACTACCTTGTAGGAAGGGGATGTACTGCTCGCTGACTTCTTGTGTCTGAAATGACCTTTTTCAACCTTCAAATCTAGGGACTGTCCCTCTGGCTGGCTTTCTGCGTACTAAATGCTCCATTCAGTGACTTTGCAGCGTGGGAAAGACCCCGTTCTTTGCTTTCCAATGTAGGAAAGGCTGGGCTTGACTTCCGGTGCGGGTCACGTGGCTCAGCTGACTTACTAACCTTACATTGTTCCCCTCCCGCCGTTTTCCTGTGCTCCTGCCTCCTGTCCTAGTCCGTTAGCAATGGAGACTCTTCTCCCTGGCTTCCTTTCAGAAAGGGGATTGTGGGGCCCTTCTCTCTATCCTTGGCTGGAAAAGCCCAGAGCTCCACATTCCAGACCCACAGGCCTCCACACTCACACCCCAGAGGTTTCCCTGGCCCCATCCGCTCCCAGTGGCAACCAGACTTCTGCACAGAGGAGAGATGTCATGCTCGGAGCCCAGCTCCACATCCACAGGACCTCCTCCTCCTCTGGGTGTGGTTAATACAGCCACCCCCTGCCTCAGACCTGGCCCAATGGACTCTGATCTCAGTCACTGTGGGACAACAAAGTGGGACATCTGTTTGCAGGGCCAGCCCCAGGACATCTGCTTGCCAAAAGGAGGGAGGACCAGCCCCCAGGGGGGGCCCAGAGCTCGGCAGGGCTGGGGTTAGTAAGAAGAGAAAACAGGGTTAGTAGGGCGGGGTTAGTAAGTCAGAGCACAGCACCAGCGAACAGGGGCACCTCAGCAGACACATACAGGAATCGCTAGGAGAAAAGGAAGAACACACACAGGTCCGTTAGTTTGTTAGGGATGGTTGGGGTGCAGTTGAGGCACCCCCGGGTTAGACAGGTTAGTAATCAAACAAAAGAACTGCCTATGAAAAAAGAAAGCTGGGAAGGAGGAAGAATGTGGGGAAGAGACAGTTAGGGATACAAAGCGAGTGTCTGGCCCCAGGCAGAAGGGTCTGTGTGCAGAACGCCCAGAGACACCAGAGTCTAGGCAGGGGACATGATCCACCAGGTTTTCTAGGGCTCCCACCCTCACCCTCACTCTTCTTTTGTGTCTTAAGTATCCAACATGTGCCAGGACCTTTATATGCATGGGATTCCTCACTGTGAGGTATCAATACTCCCATTCTACCAATGAGGAAACCAAGGTTCAGAGAAGGAAGGCAACTTGCTCGAAGCCACCAGCAGGATGTGGCAGCATTGGCAAGTCCTGTTTGCATGCCCTGTCCTGGAATGTGGGTCTGCACAAAGATCCCTGCCCACAGGCAGGGCCTTCAGAGCCTCGTCTGCCCCCCTGTCCCAGCCCCTTGAAAGGCCTATGAGCTGCACGGTTAGTAGGGTCTGGCTGCAGGGAGGTTAGTAGGGCATGCTCGGGCCTGGTTAGTGGGTTAGTCGATTGGCAGAAGGCCAGGCACCTCATCACACGCTGCAGCGACCCGGCCGAGCCCTGGGTTAGTAGGTTAATCACACCATGCAACACTGCCCCGGCCCCTCCAGCTGCAGCTCCAGAGGCCTCCCACTCCCACCAGCCCGGGACTAGGGTCTGACCAGGGCAGGGGGTCCACCTCTAAGCCCGTCAGTCCCACCACAATCAAGCCTAACTACGTAGATCCTACCCAGAAGCATTTTGCTTCCTGTTTCTTGGCTGTGTTTCTCACAGGCCCCCTGCTAAACATCTCAGGTCCCTGAAAATTGACCCTGCTTGTCCTGGATAGTAACCCCCTGCTGGGGTCTGGTCAGCCCCTTCCCACAGGGCTGGATGCTGTGGCTCTGTCACACTCAGGCACACACACACGCACATACACACACCAGGATCTTTGCACAAACGATCTGATCCCCTAAACCCACCATTCTTGGTGGACATCTCTTCCAGCTGGCCATGAGGCCTCTAGCTTCTCCACCGTGGCCTGTCTTCTCCCCATACAAAAACTGCAGCAAGCCAGCCTGGCTCTTGGGCCCTCCTGGTCTGCGTCCTTTCCAGCCAATGCCACAAAGCACTTGCCCACACCCTAGATATGCTGCTTCCTATCTCGGCTGTATTTAATTCATGGAAGCCCCAGCCTAGCATCTCCCACTGTTCTAAATGGTGCTTCATAAAGAAAGGATTCTGTGATCAGAAAAATAGGGGAACCCTGCGTTTTCTGTCCTGTCCCCAAGTATCTGAAATTCCCATTCGCATTTTAAAGGCTCTGATAAGTCCTGCATTACAGAAACCTGTAGAATTTTCAAGCTTACTGGAAAGGGCTGCAAGCCCCTCTGGGGTCTCACCACCTCCTTCCAAGCACTCAGAACCTGAGCCTCAGCAGACTGCTTTCTTGCACTGCCCCACGTAAGCTGGTTCTCGCCTGTCTGCAAGGCTGTGAAATCCTGAAGGTCTGAGCCATGGCCGTGACGCCTACTCTCTGCGAGGGCTAGTACAGGAAGAGGCCTGCAGTAGGTGCTCGATTCTGGCGAGAGTAGGACTGAAATACCCCAGGACAATGCAACCTCCTATGGAGGCTATGATCAGCAATCCCTTCTCCCAGCTCATTAGAAAGGGATATTAAGAAACCAGGCAGGAAAAGGGCTAAGCAGAACTATCCCTGGCCCAGAGATGCTGAGTTTTACAGCCCAGAGCACTAAAAGTAGATCAGCCTTAAACCTAAACTCCTGGATGGATGGGAGAATTTACTGAGGGCCTCCTAACAGCCAGGCTCCGTGCCAGGTTCCCGATCCCACTGAGTCCTCTCTGCACCTGCCAGCCCTGCGTGTGGCTCTCCTGTCCCAGCATGGAAGTTGAGGCTCACAGAGGGGAAGTGCCGTGCCAGGCTGTACAGGATCTGCTTGGGACAGACTCTGCTGAGGGGCCCTCTCTCTGTACCAAGCCCATCCAGCTCCGTGGGCCCCTGAGGAACACCTGGCCCCCGCCAGCCGGCAATTAGCCCTGTCTACGTTCTGTGCCTCTGCTCCTCCTCCTGCCTGTGGGGGTGGCGCCAGCTCCCCATGTGTTTGGTGATCACTCTGTTATTAACGGAACTGTCCCCACTCCTCAGTAGCGCGTATGTTGAATGGCTACTTCCATGTAGCGGTATTAGCAGACAGGGCCTGTGAGTGGTGGATGGAGGGTCAGTGGGATCATAGGCTAGAGCTGGAGTCTCACAGAACTGATGTCCTTACAAGAAGAGACGCCAGAGAGCGCTCTCTCCCTCTCTTAACCCACAGAGAAGGGCCATGTGAGGACAGAGCAAGCCCAGGAGAGAGGCCTCACCAGAAACCAACCCTGACACCTCATCTTGGATTTCCCAGCCTCCAGAACTGTGGAGAAGTGTCTGGTGTTTAAGCCACCCTATCGGTGGCAGCTGGAGTTGACAAATACATACCTCCTCCTCTCCCTATAAAAAGGACGTAGAGCTTTGGACCCAAAGCTGCTCTCTTACAAGCACTAGGGCTGTCCCCTCTGCAGGGCATGTACTCAGGATGGAGAACAGAGAGGCGGGGGAGGGAGGGAGACCACACACATGGAGAGGTGGATGTGAAGGCCCGTCCTGCAAGCCTCTGCTCCCAAGAGCAGAATCCAGGAGCAGAGCAAGAACAGCGAGGGTCTGACTGGGGCAGTGTCCCCATACGGGGTTTAGGTACCCCTTCCAGCCTTCGCAATGAGGCTGGTTCTTTCCAGACAATAATCCTAAGACCCGAGGTTGTCTGGTTCTTTCTAGTGAATTCTCCTGGCCTGAGTCTCCTCGATTCTTAGAAACCTTCTCTTTTCCAGATAGTACCCTTTCTGCCCCTCCAGCTACCTCTCCAGGGCTGGAAGGAAGCGCCCAGGCCCCTCCCAGGCCCCGCCTGCCTCCTCCCTGCAACCATCAGGAGCAATGGAAAAAGCCCAACCCAGGAAGCCCCCCAAAATGACAATCACTCACAGGGCAAATGGCATAGGCTCCAGCCAGCAGCACCCCAAGGAGTTCTGTCTGTCCTCCCACTGGCAGCCCCTCCCCAGCTCCTAACCCTGCTTCTTCCCCACCCTGTAGGGGCCTCTGAGACCCAGCCTTGGGGAGAGTGGTCAGTGGGGCCTCCCAGCTGGCAGCAGAGATACAAGGAAGAAGTGGGACCACAAGGTGTCAAGAAGTGGCCCCCAGCCTGAGAGTGGAGGGCCCCGCAGGTGGGCCCAACAGGTGAGCCCGACAGGTGGGGAGGGGGCCTGGGCTGCCGGCCTCCCTCCTACCCCTCAAGCTGTCCTCCAGGCAGGCCGAAGCATCTACTAAGGAGCACTCTAATCCACGAGGGCCTCCTTCGCAGACGTGGGGAAGGATGAGGTCTTCAGGGACTTGCCCAGCGTTCCAGAAAACCACCGAAGGCTGCTCCCTGGTACCGCAGCCAAGATCCAGCATCACGGGGCTCCAAAGAGAAGACCAGGCAGGAATCCTGGAGATGCAGCAGGGACAGAGGTGCCTGGGGAAGCGCAGCCAGGGAGGACGAGGCACAGGCTCATCCCAGCTTCTCAGCCCTGCCCCTCCCCTTCAGAGATCCCCAGCCTCTCTCTTGAGCCCCCAACACCCACACTGAGTGGGAGTGAATACTTTGGACACTAAGCATTTAGAAGAAACTTAGGAACAGAGGGAAAGCCGTGACAGCAGAGTGACCTGCCCAGGTAGGGTGAGCCCAGGGACGAGGAGAAAAGTAGTCGAAGGTGCCCACAGCAGGTTCCCAGAGCACTAGAGGCAGGAAGGGCCCAGGTCCGGGGGAGGCAAGGTCCTTCGGAACGCTCAGGGACTCAATTCTCTTTACTGCATTCCCACCACGAGGACCTCTGCACACCACCACCTTGATGCGCACACACATGCACACGCGCACGCGTGCACACACACACACACGCACATATGCTGGGGCGGGAAGCTCACCCCTTCACCAAGGCTGGGATGAACACGTTCTTATATGAAGATCAGAGTGGTGACTCTGCCTCTCTGGTGTTCACTGGCTCCCCACGCGTCCAGCTCGGAGAAGATGCATGGTCCACGTTTGCGCTGAATGAAGGAACAAGCTCAATCTCTGCATGAACCCCCACAGTGGTCTGGATTCCATCCCACTCACCCCACCATGACCACTCAGAACAAGTCTTCCAGCCACCTGGGTCCTGGACCTTCTGCTCATAAGCAGGAGTGTCCCGGCTCAGCCTGGGCCTGGGGGCATTGGGACCATCTACCCCACAAAACTAGGCTCAGGGCCGACTCCTTCCCTTCACCCTCCACCCAGGCTTACCTGGCAGCGTCCAGCCCAGGCCCGGCTCCCAGCTTCTTCCCCACACGGACCCCACAGGCCCATTCTGGAAGACAGAAGAACCAACCACGACGCAGGAGAAAACCGCACCCAGGACCCTCCCCAGGCCAGGGCTGGCCAGAACACTCTGCTGACCACAAAGAGGCCCAGGAGCCAGGGAGGCTGGGCCCAAGCACTGCCCACCACCTCCCTTCCTCCCTGCCCAGAGCATCATTGGGTAGAGGAGGGGAGGGGAGAGCAGTGGCTCCCTTCACCCACCTCCCTGTTCCACAATAGCAGCAGAGAGGGACTCAGGAGAAAGGACAGCAAACTTGGCAGCTTGATGACAGCTGAGCACGAGCCAGACAGATTCAGGAATGCAGAATTCTGACCCCAGGTCTGCCCCTACCATGCTGTGTGGCCCTGCGAAGTCGGTGGCTCTCACTGGGCCCCGGGACCCTTCCAGCTCCAACAATCACCCAAGCTGCATAGCCGTGACACATCCTTTGAGGCACTGGATGGGAACTAGGAAGGGCCCTCTGCCCAGCCTTGGTTGTTTTTCTGCTCCTCCTGTCTTCCCCTGAGAACCCCATGTACCCAAGGAAACTTGGGGAGCCAGAGGGTGAGGCAGGGTTCTTTTAAGAGCACCCTATTTCACCAGTCTGGAGAAGGCCAGGGAAGGCCCACTCATCCTGACTCAGGACGATCCCCAGGTCTTGGCATTTAGTGACGGTTCCACTAGCTTCCTCAACTGGCAGGCCAGGCCAGGAGAGGCTGCCGTCCTTCCAGCAGAGTTCCAGAGCTCGTTGTCAGCACCAGGGGCTTGGGATGGGCCCACAGCTGGAAAGGTACCCAGACCCTTGCTCGGAGAAGAATCAGGGCACTGAGGTTCCCCATCTAACTGCAAAACCAAGGAGCCTCTGCCGTTTTATAAATTTGAGTGCAAAAGGTCAGAACCAAGCAGAAAAGAGCCAGTCCAAATCAGGGGCTCCCTAGCCCCCTTCCAACATCAGATCTACAGTACACGAGATGAACTAACTTAGCTCGGCTGCATGCAAGTTTCAGGCAGTGGAGTTAATAAAATATTATCTCTGGTGTCAAAAGTGGGATTTGAAAAGCACCTTTTCTGAGGCTCCAGAAGACAGGGACAAGCTCTTTCTTTCTGGCCTAGAGGTAGAAAAGTGAATGGGCTGACCACCCATTCCCCCTCCCACTTTGATATGCTAGGCCAGTGCAATTTCCTGCACAGACCAGGAGAGGGCAGGCTGGCAGGCTGTGGCTGGTAAGTTGGAATACTTATCTGCAAGGCTGCTTCCCACTGTGGTTGAGAATATCCCAGAGGAGCTCAAAATTCCTTTCTCCTTCTTCTGTCCCAGGAACTGCTGTACTCTGTAAATAAACCCCGGGCTGCTTAGAGGAACATTGCTTGACCCACAACGGTCTTTTCCTCCTACCCTGTAGACCCAGAATCCCTGATATTAACAAGGCACTTGAGGGCCAGCCCCAGAGCGTAGTGGTTAAGGGAACTGGCTCTCCTGGGGCTGAAGGTAGTTTGAATCCCAGCCCTGGCAGCTTAAAAAACACACTAGGCTTGAGTATGCATATGTGCCCCAAATCCTGACAGCATGGAGGGATGGAGAAGGGTTTTCAGCATGTCCACACTCCACTGGGAGATCTCCTCCTAGCTCTGTCTCTCTGCCTTTCTCTGTTGAGTGCACATACCCTCTGGCAATTAAAAGAAAATTAAATCCCCTGTCGTGGTGAATGCATAAGCTAATTGTGGATTACCCATACAATGGCATCTACTCAGCCACAGAAAGGAAGAGACTGCTGATACGTACTATAAGACAGGCCTCCAGCATATTACACTGGGGCCAGCAGTTGGCACAGTGGTTAAGGCACTGGACTCCCACGTGGCCAACTACTATTCGAGTCCCACGCCAGGTGGCTTGAAACACACTGGGTGTGCATATGCGTATGTGTGTGTGTGTGTGTGTGTGTGTGTGTGTGTGTATGTATGCTCCAAATCCCAAGAGGAGAGTGGAGGAGAAGGAACTGTGGCATAGCCATGGCCCTAGGGAGGTGAGTTCTCACTTTCTCTTGCTCTGTCTCTCTGGCAAGCACATATGCCCTAAAGCAAAACACTCTCTGGGGAAAAAAAGATGCATATCATGCTAAGTGAAAGAAGACTGACACAACAGAACACATGTCCAGAAAAGGAAAATGTATAAAGATGAAAAATAGATAAGGGATTGCCCAGGCTTAGAGGCAAGATGGGGATGAATAGTAAATGTGCCTGAAGGATCCTACTGGGGTGAAGGAAATGTTTTAAAAACTGATTTATAGGGGCTAGTAGGTGATATGGTGGTTAAAGGCACTGGACTCCCACATAGCTGACCGCTGTTTGAGTCCCGGACCCAGCAGCTTGAAAATCATGCCAGGTACATGGACATGGGTGCCCAAAATCCCAGGAAGAGAATGGAGGAGAAAGTATTGTGGTGTGGGCTGCCCCCACTGGGATTGATTTCTCACTTTCCCTCTCACTGTCTCTCTCCATCGAGTCTACACGCCCTATGGTCAAAACCTAAAAACAAACCAAAAATGATTATGATAACAGTTGACAACTTGGTAAACTTATGAAAAATCATTGAATTGTACATTTGAAATGGGTGAATTACATGATATTTAAGTCATCCCTAAAGAAAGTTGGACAAAAAAAGGACTGAATTACTGAGACATGTAGCAACAAGGAGGAGCCTCAAAATCATGATACTAAGGCCAAGAGGTGGCATGGTGGTTAAGGCGCTGGACTTCCATGTGGCTCACTGTGGTTCGAGTCCCAGAGCTGATGGCTTGCTTTCTCACTCTCTCTCACTCTGTGTGTGTGTCTCTTTCTCTTTCTGATGGGCAGGTGTGCCTAATAGCAAACTTTAAAAAATAATAATAATAATTAATAAAATAAATAAATTTTAAAAAAATCATTATGCCAAACAGAAGATCACAAATATATGAAATTTCAGAAGAAAGCAATCTAGGTCAGCTGCAGTGGTATAGTAGTAACACAATGCTGAAGATACATGAGGAGGTTCCGGGTTCTCGTCCTGAGGTCTCCTGTGTACACACTTGTCCCCACGACCCTGGCTGGCTGGGGCTAGGGAACAGATCTTGGCATGAAGACCCTGTTGGGAGTGCTCCCTCCAGAAGAATTAAATCAATAGGCTTAAATAGAGGGAAAACCGGGCTAGCAGGTGACATGGTGGTTAAGGCAATGGGTCCCACAGGGTCAGTTGTGTAGTTCCGAGTCCCGGATCCAGGGGCTCGAAAAATATGCTGAGTATGTTTGTGTGTGAGTGTGTGTGTGTGTGTGTGTGTGTGAGTGTGTTGCCTAAAATTTTGAGAGAAGAATGGAGGAGAAAGAACTTTGGCTTGGCCATGCCTCCAAGAGATGATTTCCACTTTCTTTCTCTCTCTGTTTCTCCATCTCTCTCTCTCTCTCTCTCTCTCCCTCTCTCTTGTACACACTCTCACCCTATGGCAAAAATCTAAAAAAAAAAATAAAAAAGAAGAAGAAGAAGAAATCTAATCTGTAGTCATAGAAAGCAAACCAGTGGCTCCTAGGACTGGGGCTAAGGCCCAGAGCTGGTGGCTTGCTTTCTCACTCTCTCTCTCTCTCTGTGTCTCTTTCTCTTTCTGGTGAGCAGGTGTGCCTAATAGCCTATTACCAGGGCCAGGACCCAGGAAGGTTTTCGGATACTGAGAATGTTCTATAGCTTGCTATGGGTTACAGAGGTGTGTGTATACATTTGCCAAAACACATCAAAATATATGTTTATAAAGCTGTTTCATTTTCTTGTATGTAAATTACACCTCAGTAAAGTTGTATTTTGTTTTTCAAAATCAAGTCAATGAAAGAGAACTAGAACTGAAAAGCGTCAGCTCCAAAGCCGCACAGCAGCTCTCATGGTGGGCACCATGGCCCCGGCATTTCAGCTCTCATTCATCCACATGGACCCCCCACCCTTCACCCCTGCCATTTCCAGCCAAGGCCAGGAAGCCTCTCGAGGAAGTCTTGCTTGAGAGATTGGAAACCAGAGGGTTGTCAAAGGTTTCTCCTACCTCTGCGGCAGACGGTCTCAGCGCGTCCGGATTTCCTGGTGGACCCACCCGCATCACATGGAGCTGATCTCAGCCACCCACTGTGTGCCCAGGAGAGGGAGGATCACCTTGGCCACTCCTTTGCTGTTGTTGGGGTCATGGCAGCCACGTGAACACATCTGGAACCACAAGAATGAGCAGGGAGATAACCTACGAGTGTGGTGGAGAGAGACCGGAAGTGAGGGGCTAGAGAAGTACCTGCAGGCACGCTGGAGAACATTTACGACCACGGCATTTGCCAGAACCGATCTCCCTGGAGGCAGACCAAAAGTAGAACAGGGCCAGACAGTGGCGCAGCGGTAAAACGCAACCCTCTGCAGTACCAGCCGACATGGGAAGGCTCAAGGTTCTCATCCAGCGGGCCTCCCTGAGGACACTGGGCAAACGCATGCCCGTGATCCAGGGCTGGCTGAGGCTGGAGTAGGTCACGGCACAAGACCCTATAGGGGGCGCTGTCTCTTTGCCTCTCTCTCCTCTCCATTCATAGAAAAAAATAAATAAAATAAAATAAATAAAATAAAATAATTTTTTATTTACTTTTATTTACTTTTATTTTTAGTTTTATTATAGGGAACATGTGTTAGCCAAAGAGAGACAAAGACCAAGACAGCGACACAGAGAAAGAGAGAAGCCACCCCCTGGGGGGAATGCCACACCGCAATCCCTCCTCCTCCATTCTCCTCTTGGTATTTTGGGCATGCAAGTACATGTGCCTGGCATGATTTTCAAGCCATCAGGTCTGGGACTTGAACTGGCAGTCACCATGTGGGATCAGCCACCTTAACTTGCACGCCATCTGCTGGCTCTAAATAAACTTTCTTTGCACTTGCCAGAGACAGAGAGAAAGTGAGAAAGCAACCCAGGGAGGAATGGCCACGCCACAATCCCCTCTCCTCCATTCTCCTCTTGAGATCCTGGGCAGGCACACACACACGCCTGCCACATTTCTCAAGTCATAGGGTCTAGGGATTCGAACCACAAAGTTGGCCATGTGGGATCCAGCCTCCCTAACCTCCATGCCACCTGCTAGCCCTAAATAAACTTTATAAAAAAAAAAAAAAAAAGCAAAAGAGGGAGCAAGATGGTGCCACTGTGTTGGGAGGTAGTGTTCTACCAAGCAATCCCACATGGGAGATAACTAGTTCAAGTCCAGAGACCTCCCTGAACACATCAGCTATGTTTGCCCATGATCTGGGGTTGGCTTTCATAGAAGGAATAGATCAAGCGAACCTAAAAATAAAAGCAAAACTAGGAAACTGGGAGGGATCTTGTCCAGACCAACATCCTAACGCATGGGAAAGGACGCATGCTCAATGGCGTAGCTTCTCATCCTGTTCCATCACCCACTAGCTGTGTGACCTTGGGCAAGTCCATTGCTGCTCTGAGCATCCATAAAATGGGGATGACAATGGTGCCTTTCTTACCAGGCTGCGATGGGGATTAAATGAGATGACAAGTATTACCTACTAGCACACACTTATTATTATCTTACATTATTATTATTGCCATCACCTCACTAACCTCAACCAAGGAATAGCCATCCCCCCACCCCACCCCACCCCGCCACAACCACACTTTACTGTTCCTGGTAACAGATAAACAGCTGTCAGGAAAACCTACCTTGGCTGCATTTTAGAAATCTATGAGGGCAGGGCTGGCAGGTGGCATGGTGGTTAAGGTGCTGGACTTCAACATGGCTGACCACAGTTCAAGTCCTGGACCTGGCAGCTTGCTGTCTCACTTTCCCCTTTTCTCGCTCTCTCTGTCTGTCTCTTTGGTCAAATTAAATAATAATAATAGGTGTCGACAGGTGGCGTGATGGTTAGAGGCTCTGGACTCCCACATGGCCGACCATAGTTGGAGTTCCGGACCTGGTGGCTTGCTTTCTTGCTTTCTCTTTCTCTCTGTCTCTGTCTGGTCAAAATAAAAAATGATAATAAGAAATGGAATTAAAAATAAATAATTATTTTAAATAAATAAATAATAACAAATAAAAGTAAACAAAGAAATAATTAAGGGAAAAAAAGAAACCCATGGGGGCCAGCAGGTGGCATAGTGGTTAGGGCACTGGGCTCCCATATGAGCAACTGCAGTTCAAGTCCCAGACCCAGCAGCTTGAAATTCATGCCAAACACATATGCATGCATGCCCTGAATCCTAAGAGGATAGTGGAGAAGGGGTTGAGGCATGGCCATATCCCTGGGGGTGGGGGTATATTTCTCACTTTCTGTCTCTTTTTCTCTGTCTCTCCAGTGAGCACACACATTCTATAGCAAAAAAATCT